TGATCACAGAAACCAAGCTTACAGGTATGATAACAGATGCCATCTTTCTAACGGGATACCAGATCCTGAGGAAAGACAGAAGGAACATGGGGGGGTGGAGGAGTGGCATTGCTGATCAAACACCGATGGAATTTTGATGAGCTGGAGAGAGGAGACAGCGGAGAAGAAAGTGATTGCATAGCGGAACGCTTCACTCTGGAGGTCCCAAGGTGATAATTGCAGTGATGTGTAACCCACCACAGAACAGCAGGAGGCCAATGCAAGAGTATGACGAGAGCAATAGAGCGATGGTTGACACACTGGCTGCAGTGGCCAGAAGAGCTCATGCATGCAGGGCAAAGCTCCTGATCATGGGCGACTTTAACCACAAGGAGATCGAATGGGAGAACTTGGAGCCACATGGGGGCCAAGATACATGGAGGGCTAAGATGATGGAGGTGGTACTGGACAACTTCATGTACCAACACGTAAGGGACACTACAAGAGAGAGAGGAAGGATGAACCAACAAGACTGGACTTAGTAATTCACCTTGAGTAGTGCAGATATTGAGGACATCACATATGAAAAGACCCCTTGGGGCCAGCGATCATGTGGTTTTTGAGCTTCGAATACACAGTAGAGCTACAAGTGGAGGGGGAAGCAGAAGGCCAGGACAAATGAAACCAAACTACAGGAAAGGGACTACACAGGAATGAGAACTTCCTGAATGAGGTTCAGTGGGACAGAGAACTGGCAGGAAGCCAGTTAATGAGATGATGGAATATGTAGCAACAATGTGCAAGGAGGCTGAGGAGAGGTTTGTACCCAAGGGTAACAGGAATAATGAAAAAGCCAAGATGAGCCCATGGTTCACTCAAGATGCAAGGAGGCAAAAACCAAGGTGCTAGGAATGGAAGAAATATAGAAGGCAAAGGACCCAGGAGAATAAGGAGAGCAGTCGTAGAGCCAGAAACAAATATGCACAGATAAGAAGGGAGGCCCAACGTCAATATGAAAACGACATAGCAGCAAAAGCCAAATCTGACCCGAAGCTATTATACAGCCACATCAGAAAGAAAACAACCATCAAGGACCAGGTAATCAGGCTAAGGAAGGAAGGAGGAGAGACAACAAGAAGTGACAGTGAAGTATGTGAGGAACTCAACAAGAGATTCAAAGAAGTGTTCACAGAGGAGACAGAAGGGGCTCCAGAAAGACGGATAGGTGGGGTACACCACCATGTGCTGGACACAGTACACACAACCGAGGAAGAAGTGAAGAGGCTTCTGAGTGAGCTAGATACCTCAAAGGCAATGGGGCCAGATAACATCTCTCCATGGGTCCTGAGAGAGGGAGCAGAGGTGCTGTGTGTACCCCTAACAACAATATTCAATACATCTATCGAAACAGGGAGATTGCCTGAGGCATGGAAGAAAGCAAATGTGGTCCCAATCTTTAAAAAAGGAGACAGACATGAAGCACTAAACTACAGACCATGTGTCACTGACATGTATAGCATGCAAATCATGGAAAAGATTGTCAGGAGAAGAGTGGTGGAACATCTAGAAAGGAATGATCTCATCACCGGCAGCCAACATGGTTTCAGAGATGGGAAATCCTGTGTCACAAACCTACTGGAGTTCTATGACATGGTGACAGCAGTAAAACAAGAGAGAGAGGGGTGGGTGGATTGCATTTTCTTGGACTGCAAGAAGGCGTTTGACACAGTACCACACAAGAGATTAGTGCAAAACTGGAGGACTAAGCAGGGATAACAGGGAAGGCACTGCAATGGATCAGGGAATACTTGTCAGAAGACAGCAGCGAGTAATGGTACGTGGCGAGGTGTCAGAGTGGGCACCTGTGACCAGCGGGGTCCCACAGGGGTCAGTCCTAGGACCAGTGCTGTTTCTGGTATTTGTGAACGACATGACGGAAGGAATAAACTCCGAGGTGTCCCTGTGTGCAGATGACGTGAAGTTGATGAGAATTCATTCGATCGAAGACCAGGCAGAAATACAAAGGGATCTGGACAGGCTGCAGACCTGGTCCAGCAACTGGCTCCTGGAGTTCAATCCCACCAAGTGCAAAGTCACGAGGATTGGGGAAGGGCAAAGAAGACCGCAGACGGAGTACAAGTCTAGGGGGCCAGAGACTACAACATCACTCAAGAAAAGATCTTGGGGTGATATAACACCAGGCACATCTCCTGAAGTGCACATCAACCAAATAACTGCTGCAGCATATGGGCGCCTAGCAAACCTCAGAACAGCATTCCGACATCTTAATAAGGAATCGTTCAGGACCCTGTACACCGTGTACGTTAGGCCCATATTGGAGTATGCAGCACCAGTTTGGAACCCACACCTAGCCAAGCATGTAAGAAACTAGAGAAAGTGCAAAGGTTTGCAACAAGACTAGTCCCAGAGTTAAGAGATATGTCCTATGAGGAGAGGTTAACTGAAATCAACCTGACGACACTGGAGGACAGGAGAGATAGGGGGGACATGATAACGACTTACAAAATACTGAGAGGAATTGACAAGGTGGACAAAGACAGGATGTTCCAGAGACTGGACACAGCAACACGGGGACACAGTTGGAAGCTGAAGACACAGATGAATCAAAGGGATGTTAGGAAGTATTTCTTCAGCCACAGAGTAGTCAGGAAGTGGAATAGTTTGGGAAGCGATGTAGTGGAGGCAGGATCCACACATAGCTTTAAGCAGAGGTACGATAAAGCTCGTGGTTCAGGGAGAGTGACCTAGTAGCGACCAGTGAAGAGGCGGGGCCAGGAGCTTGGACTCGACCCCTGCAACCTCAACTAGGTGAGTGTACACACACACACACAGAGGAACCTCTACTTACGAGTTTAATATCATTTAGATTAATTGAAATGGAATTAATCCATTCCAGTGGTATTCCAGGCATGACAAAATAATTCAGTATTTCCCTAATATCAACTTTGTGCCTTATTTATCTATCAGAGTTTGTCTACTGTGACATAATAATTAATATTAATAACATAGAAACATGATATATACACTAGAGTGAATGAAATATGTCATTATGTATCTGAGGAGTGGTAGTGTGCGGCGGAAGCACAGCAGCCATTGTGGTTGTTGGGGTCTATAAGGGCCACCACAGCGTGGTGACTACATACCTTCCCATGCTCTTATTATAACAGAAAATGGAGTGCTTGTGAGGCAAATTCATGTAGTTTCATAAGGAAAACAATAATAATAATAATAATAATAATGTAAAGAAATTATGTAGTACTATAGCATTTGCCTTGGAGATGGAGAAGAGATGCTGGACACAGCGGCGTATGCTCTCAGTTCATTTTGTTTCGTCCTTTTTCTATCAGGTAATCACCTAATTGCTACACTCTTAATGTTACACTTTGTCACTTTTAATGCTATGTTCACTTAATTCCTACGCTCCAAGGTAATCATCCTCTTTTTCTTCTTGGCACTCTCCTGTGGACTTGCTTCTTAGGGCCCTTAGCTAGAAACAAGAAATTTTGCAGAATAACTGCACAAAACCTAAGAAAAACACGAGAATTCCTTCAACTGCGATGCAACTCCATTAGCACACGTGGACTGCCGAGCTTTGTTTTGATATGCACTGCCATCTGTGGTGGCGTGCTCAAACTAACTTATTATACATAGTACGTACATACATATTATTATAATTATTATTATAGTATTGCATATTACTATTATTATATTATTATTATATTATTTATGTACGTATTCTTATAATACTCTTGCTTACCATTTTGAATTTTTATTCACAAAAAAAAAAAGAGATGTACTGTTATGCAGACTACTGCAGTATTGTAATAATTGTATAAATATGTCAACCTATTATAGTATAATAATAAGGTATTAAAAGGGCCCCAATGGAAATAAGCCACTCGAATCTGACTTTTTTGGGTTATCCTAGGTTCCCTACACATATACTGCTATGTATGATGATCTATGTAACTGTATTTGTGTACACCTAAATAAACTTACTTATGACTGCATATTTTACTGGCCAGTCGGACAGGTATTGGACAGTGACATTATTTGTTTGCTCTTGAACATTGCCAAAGAATCGAACATTTCTGCTACTTTGAGCTCAGTTTCAGGGTACTTTTTGTTGTGAAACCAATCAAATCATATCTCTTTCTGTAATATATCTTCCATTCTATCAAATGAGATCTAAAAAACGAGAATATAACCATAAAAACCATATAAAAATATACCACTAAGGGGCAGCTGATGGCTCAGAAGTGAACTCTGCTATTTATCATCTGATTTTTTTCATTTTTGGTGTACGTTAAGCATCTTTCCATCGAATATCGCCCAGGTTTCGACAAGATAGCCCAACAAACAACTGAGATCCAGTTCCCTAGAGCAAGAGCCTCTCACCAGCGTCAAGGAACCTCCCTTGAGATCCACTCGCATCTTGAAATTTCGCTCTCATCCGGAAGCAAAAAATCAGCCGAGCGACTGCTAGTGTCTTGAAAAATTCACATGTTGGGACACTCATAAGTACAGGTTCCACTGTGTGTGGTTGTGTGTGTGTGTGTGTGTGTGTGTGGTGTACAACACACAAGCCATGCGTGTTGTAAGAGGCGACTAAAATGCCAGGAGCAAGGGGCTAGTAACCCCTTCTCCTGTATAAATTACTAAATTTAAAAAGAGAAACTTTTGTTTTTCTTTTTGGGCCACCCTGCCTTGGTGGGATATGGCCGGTTTGTTGAAAAAAAATATATATATATATATACAGTGGACCCCCGGTTTACGATATTTTTTCATTCCAGAAGTATGTTCAGGTGCCAGTACTGACCGAATTTGTTCCCATAAGTAATATTGTGAATTAGATTAGTCCATTTCAGACCCCCAAACATACACGTACAAACGCACTTACATAAATACACTTACATAATTGGTCGCATTGGGAGGTGATCGTAAAGCGGGGATCCACTGTATAAAGCATTACAGCCTGCACATGATTCATTTGTAGCTAAGATGGTTTTTTTTCTTACAGGTCTATCACACGTACTTACTACCGCAATTCAGTTGGAGCATTAGTAGTTTTTGATGTATGTAACAAGAAATCTTTGGAGCATGTCCCAATGTGGATCATGGAAGCCAAACGACACATCGAACCTCACAAGTCTGTATTCATCCTAGTTGGCACAAAGGTATTGCTTACCTCACTTCTGAAGGTATACATTATTTCACGTGCAATGTGTGCTGTGTATCCACATGTATATGTTCATGCTTATATCTGTGTATGATTACTTCATAATTTTGTGTCCTATGGTAACCTATCTATTTCTCAATTTTACAATTACAGGCTGATTTTTCTGTTATTGGTGTCCTAAAATCGTCTATATCAATTTCCTTTATCAATGCCTGCACTCTAAAGGAGGGGTTCAGGATATTGGCAGTTTGGAGGGATATGTTGTGTATCTTTATACATATATGCTTCTAAGCTGTTGTGTTCTGAGTACCTCTGCAAAAACAGTGATTATGTGTGAGTGAGGTGAAAGAGTTGAATGATGATGAAAGTATTTTCTTTTTGGGTCACCCTGCCTCGGTGGGAGACGGTCAACTTGTTAAAAAAAAAATATATGATTTTTTTTTATTTTCTGGTTTTATATTGCAGATTGATATGGACGATGAACGAGAGGTCAGAATAGAGGATGCTTTGGCTCTAGCTAAGTTTTATAATATAAGTTATGTAGAAACAAGCTCAATGAAAGGAATAAACGTAGAAGAGGCTTTCAGAACTATCACACAAGAAGTGTATGACAAGGTAAGTGTTTGTATCTTATAGTTTACTTTTTAAGGAGAAATAAGTGAGTACATAGTGTAAAAGTAGCACTTTCCACAGAGATTCAGTTGCAAAAAACTAGCTATCAAAATTACTAATTAATTGTTAAAATAAATGAATAATAAAAGATACTAGGAATTTTTAATTTCCAGTTTAGAGACCCAAATTTTGCATACATTTCCCTGTAGTCAAATAACTAGTTATAGGATAAAGACACCTCTCTACACTTCAGGACATTCATTAACCCTTAAACTGTCGAAACGTAGATCTACATTCACGTGCATAGCACTTCGACCTTGATTTTCCCCGTTTCAAAGCATGTAAAAAAAAATGTAGATCTACATTCAGAGCCGCCGCACTTGAACGTATATCTACATTGGGACAGTTTAAGGGTTAAAGGAAACATTTTGTCCCAGTTAGCTTACTAAATCCTTTAAATCTTCAAGACTGAAGATTTTTTGGCACCACACTTCATTTTTATCTAATATTGTATCTTATCTCATTCCTTAGTAAGAAGTTTTATTCTTATTTTTCCTTCACCTGTAAACAGATACAGTCTGGAGAGTTCAAAATTGAGGATGGCTGGGATGGCATTAAAACAGGATTCTCCAGACCAAATCCCTCATACAGTTTGATGGAAGCAGAAGCAGAGAAATCTGGATTTTGTTGCTAGGTGTTGTCAAAGCACTGTGTGTTAAAAAGTTAAGAAAATAAATTTAATTTATTTCAAGGTTACTATTTACTGCTTCAACACAATTTTCTTTCAGAAAATATACTGATATAATAAAATCTCATTGTAAGGACATTTTTAACACTCAGTGAAGATTTTCAAGTAAACCAAAGGAAGTACCCTAGTCCCATCCACCTTTTGCTACAAATGTGTTAATGTGAGTTGTTAATTAGTAATCTGTTGAGGGCTGTATCACTGGCTGTATTAGACTTATTGATTTTTATCAACATTACTTGCAAAACATTTTATTTTTTTAAAGAACTGTACTCATTATGTTCTATTTATATGACTGTATAACTTGTCCAGATTACTTTGAGAAAAGTGTGACCAGTTTTGGTCTGTGTGATTGTGTACAGTATTGTGATTCTCTTTATACCTCTTTGGGAGTGTCTAATGTGTATTTCAGGATGTTAAGATTCTGTGATAAAACCAGTATGAGTCATATATTATTTCAGGCATTAAATAGTATATTATTTGATATTTATCTAAGTCATAGCTACTTTCTGTAGAAAAGGAATACTGTATACACCGTTTCCTCAACTGCACCTTCAATTTCCCTTTCCTCTGTTTTTACCTTTTCTCTGCCCAGCCAATCCTCCCCCTCCCCCCCCCCCCTCCTCTCTCTCTCTCTCTCTAAAACAGGGTTTGACAAGGTTAGGTTAAGGGTCCCTAGCTTTATTGACAAGCTAAGAGCTGTTATTGTTATGAAACATACAAGTAGGGAACAGGATGAAGTTGGAGCTATCGGTGGGCCAGCATTTTCATTTGATCAACTGACTATCTCGTTGACATCATAATGCTGTACAAATGTGTTCCAGACCCGAGTCATCCTGAGGATAAATGATCTCAGATGAAGTGATGTTCTGGAGAAGGGTACAGCCAAAGTGAAGTTGCTGCTTTCTGCTCGTCTTGTGGTACAGAAGCTTGCTTCTCTCTGTCCTCGAAGTGGATCCCAGTGTGGTACTTTGACAATATTGACCTTGTACATAACAGTAAGGCCATCCACATCCCTTCTGTGTTGAAGGCTCTCCTGAAATGACAGATCTATCCAGGATGGGTCCAGGTGAGAAATGAGATGTCTTGCTCTGTTCTCTACTCTGTCAAGCAGTCGCAGATGGGGGGAAGGGGCAGGCAAACTAAGAAAGTGGAGCACGCTCAAGGTGTGAGCGTATTTGTGCCTCATACGGAATCTTGCAACCCCTACTGTCAAATGTTACTTGCCATCAGTTTCCCCAAGCTGATATAGCTCTTAGCTGATGATCGATGTAGCTTAGAGCAGCTGGCATTTCTTCTCTTGGATAATTGAATGTCAGAGTACAGCCGTGACATGGGATTCTGGGATGAGATGAAGAAGGGCATTGAAGTAGACATTCCATAACAATGGTCCCAGCACACTTCCCTGTGGAACACTTGCCCCAATAGGATGTCTTGCTGATTCTGTTTTCTTGAGAACTACCCTTAGAGATCTACCATGAAGGTAATCATTGAAGAGATGTAGCATAGAGCCTGCAATTCCCAGTACTTGCAGTTTTGCAAGAGGCCCTGGTGCCACACTCGGTTGAAAGCACCAGCAATGTCCAGTGCTACCACACAGCTGACTTAGGATTCATCCAGTGACTGGTGCCACATAGTGGAGAGGTTTAACAAGAGATCAGCAGCAGAGTAACCTTTCCTGAAGCCATATTGACGGTCACAAAGTAGTGAGTGGTAGTCGAAAAACTCTGTCATTTGTCTTGAGATTATTGTCTCAAGGTTCTTGCCAGTGATGGACAGGAGTGACACTAGTCTGTAGTTGCTGATTTCTGCTCTGCTCTTCTTTTTGTAAAGAGAGAATACATTTGCTGCTTTCCACAGAGAAGGCCATTTACATGTACTAGGCAGTGCTGAAAGATGCGAGTTAGAGGTGCTGCTAACTGGTCTGCACATCTCAGCAATCTTGGGCTCAACTTGTCTGGGCCCACAGCCTTTTCTTGGTCAAGCAGTTTAAGAAGGAAATGCACCTCCTCCTGCCTTATTGTCACCACTGACAATTTTGACACAGTTCTTGCAGCTAGCCAAGGAGGGTCCCTTGCTGGATCAGGAGCTTGCATTTTGGTAGCAAAGTGTTCGGCAAAGAGGTCCGCGCTCTCGACTACTAGTAGAGGTGGTCTCATCCTGTCGATTTAGAGGCAGAATGAGTTCATCAGGCAGATAACCTTGTCTGTCCTTGACCAGGGACCACCAGGTTTTGGAGCCTACTCTACCTGATGCTAACTTTCTTTTTGTGTCCACCTCCTGTTTAGTGATGGCCCACTTTTGAACTTCACCCATATGCCTACAGGCTTGCCTGTTTAAGTTCCTGTTATAGGTGGTAGGATGTCTCTTATACCTTCGCCATGCCTCATACTTACCAGTAGCAGCCTCTCTACAACAAAAGCCAAACCAAGGCTGATCTGTAGGCTTCGTCACATATTGCTGGTGAGGGATGTGTTCTTGTTGTAGATTAAGGATGTGTCCAGTGAAGGCTTTCACTTGGTTGTCAACATCCCCTTTAAGAACATTTCAATCAGTGGTGGCGAGCTCAGAGTAAAGGGTTGGCCAATTACCTCTTTTCCATAGCCAGGTTGTGGGTGTGGACTCCTCACCTTGTTCTGCTGGGATCTTAAGTGTCATAAAAACAGCCTTGTGGTCAGACGATCCAACATAGCCGAGGGGTTGACAATTGACTATACCTTCTGCCAGATTACTCGCTACTGGGTCAAGGGAGGAGCCAGAGATGTGAGTAGGGGAATCAACAAAGTTTCTCATGTCAAATACTGCAAGAAGGTCATCAAAGTCCCTCTGTATAAGATGTTGGTTGAGGTCACCAACAATTATATGTTGACAGTTGTGTTGGAGCAGAAGGGCGTCCACATTTTGCATTAGAAAGTTGATGGGGTCTGCATGTTGCCACTGAGGTCTGTACATTGCACATGCTAGTACAGAGGTACTAGTGTTTATGCATAGCTTGAAGAACATCATTTCAAGATGAGTAGGGATGGCAATATCAGTGTGCTGGGCATGTACACTTTTAGAGAAGCACACAGGCCGACAGGATGCTGATAGACTGGCTCCTCCTGATGTGTTCGGCTTGAGGTGGTGGGTGTGTAAGGTGTGTGAGGTGCCTGCCCTTGAGAGAGGTAGGGCACCGAGGCAACTGCTGGGATGTAGGTCTGTGGTCTTGTATAAGGCACAATACCACCTGCTGGACTGAGATAGGAGTAGCTGAGTGGGTGAGGCTAGTGTGTGTTCACCAATTCAGAAATCCTGCTGGTTTGTCCCGAGAATAGGTGGTCGTCTCTGTCTCTGTCTCTCTGTCTCTGTCGTCTGTCTCTGTCTCTCTCTGTCTGTCTCTGTCTCTGTCTCTGTCTCTCTCTCTCTGTCTCTCTCTCTCTGTCTCTCTCTCTGTCTCTCTCTCTGTCTCTCTCTCTGTCTCTCTCTGTCTCTCTCTCTCTGTCTGTCTCTCTGTCTCTGTCCCCTGTCTCTCTGTCTCTGTCTCTCTGTCTCTCTGTCTCTCTGTCTCTCTGTCTCTGTCTGTCTCTGTCTCTGTCCTCTGTCTCTGTCTCTCGTCTCTCTTCTCTCTTCTCTCTCTCTCTCTCTCTCTCTCTCTTCTCTCTCTCTCTCTCTCTCTCTCTCTCTCTCTCTCTCTCTCTCTCTCTCTCTCTGACTCTGTGTTTCTCTGTCTCTGTCTGTCTCTCTCTCTCCTCCCCCCACTACCTCTGCTTCCTCCCCTTCCTCCCCCTCCTAACTAATTCAGTGGCATTTTATTTTGTTTTAATGAATTTGAGAAGATGCCTACAAACTGTAGGAGCTCAGTATAAGTGGACCTTTGGATTTTCAATTAAATATTGTATGCTTGCAATTTTTTTTTTTTCAACAAGTCGGCCGTCTCCCACCGAGGCAGGGTGACCCAAAAAAGAATGAAAATCCCCAAAAAAGAAAATACTTTCATCATCATTCAACACTTTCACCACACTCACACATTATCACTGTTTTTGCAGAGGTGCTCGGAATACAACAGTTTTGAAGCATATACGTATAAAGATACACAACAAAATATATGTGATATATTGGTAGGAGGAAGGGGTGTAATGCATGCTAAATGACTGAAAGCAGAACAATCTTAGTGCTCCGATACTAGCAAATCGAGGCGTCTCGCTGCAGGTAAATGCAATATTTCTATTACTACTCCAAGTCATCTCATCCATATTTAGTGCTTAGTTTGATTAGAATACTACTGATCTACTCCAGGTCATGAAGACATCAAGCTTTCTGTTTTACTGAAAATAATTGGAAAGGTTAGCTACACATCACAGGTGTTCAATGTAGATATAATTGAAATGTTTTCTTTTTCATAGTAGAATGCACAACACCACTATCTATGTACCACCAGTCAAAACTACATTATATTTTTCCATGACATGCCATATTCTTACCTAATTGGAAAGTATTAGTGTGTTACGCAGTGCAGTACAGTAGTACCTTATGTGTAAGATGCAACTTTTAAAGTATACATATCCAGGCTGAATGTCTGTTAACACAATCTAGGTGTGTGTTGTGCTTTTAAGAATGTACCCTCACTTCAGGAGTGGCACAAAGGGCAGTGGCTTAGGGGGCTATAACCCACTAAGCCCAACCAAGTAAAAATGTTTTTAACACAGGCTGTCTCCCACTGAGGTAGGGTAACCTGAAAAAGAAGAAACACTTTCGCTGTTATTCACTCTATCACTTGTCTTGCCAGAGGCATGCCAGTACTACAATTCAGGTGCCCCTCCAAACTGCAGATATCCCCACCCCTCCTTGAAAGTGTAGGCACTATACGTTTCACCTCCAGAACTCGAGTTTGCCTAACTGGCTTCACTGAAACCCTTGACAGATGTTACCTTGCTTGCACTCAGCAACTCATCAAGTCCCAAATAAAATTCACCTCCACTCCTATCTAACATGCTCACACTGTTCTTTAGGAATATTTTTTCTTACTTGGGATGTGTTTCTCTTTCACTGTGGTCAAATTGTATATATGCATATACTGTATGTGTGTGCATGTGTGTGTGCGTGTGTACTCACCTAGTGTGTGTGCGTGTATGTGTGTGTGTGCATGCATGCATGTGCATGCATGTTCACCTTATATATGTATATACATTTTTTTTTTCTTTTTTTTTAACAAGTCGGCTGTCTCCCACCGAAGCAGGGTGAACCAAAAAAGAAAGAAAATCCCCAAAAAGAAAATACTTTCATCATCATTCAACACTTTCACCTCACTCACACATAATGCTGTTTTTGCAGAGGTGCTCAGAATACAACAGTTTAGAAGCATATACATATAAAGATACACAACATATACCTCCAAACTGCCAATATCCCAAACCCCTCCTTTGAAGTGCAAGCATTGTACTTCCCATTTCCAGGACTCAAGTCCGGCTATATAAAAATAACCGGTTTCCCTGAATCCCTTCACTAAATATTATCCATGTCCCAACGAGACATCATTCACACTGTCACTGTCTTGCCAGAGGCACACAGATGTGACATTTTAGATGACCCTTCAAACTACAAATATCCCTACCCCTCCTTTAGAGTGGGTACTGTACTTCCTACCTCAAGGACTCAAGTCCAGCTAGCTAGTTTCCCTGAATCCTTTCACAAATGTTACCTTGCTCACACTCCAGCAGCTCATCAGGTCCCAAAAATCATTGCCTCCACTCCTATCTAATACAGGCACACATGCCTGCTGAATGTTCAAACCCTTTACTCATAAAACCTCCTTTACATACATATATACACACAGTATATATGTATGCATTTACACAGTTTGTCCAGTGAAACACATCCCAAGTAAGTATAAACATTTCAGTGAAGGCTAATAACAAAAGATTTCTTACATATCAGAAGAAATTTACACCTCAAAAAGTACATTACCTGAAGACCTGACTTGGTCATATAAGTCAGGTCAGGTCAGGTCAAATGTGGCTTGGTGTGTCAGCATTGCCTATTTATTCTATATATTTTATTAATAATAAGTGCATTCTGTTATAATGTTTCTAACTGATTTTGAGAGACTATATTCAACACTTTTTTTTTTTAATGTGACCTCATATATTTAGTTCAGCCACAGATTTGCATTAACAGTTTTATTTTTTTTATTAGTCACTGGGATGATTTATGTTTTTTTGTAGATGAACCGGCAAGTTGATTTATGTTTCTACTGTACTGTAAGGAAATAGTTAATAAACTCTTAATATAATGGTCTTTTAAAATTAAGGGCAAAATCCACTAATTAAATTGTACTTTTAACACCTTTATTTTTGATGTTTATTGCAGTTTATCTGTAAATTGTGTGTACAGTACTATTTTAATAAATTAGACACATGTGCAACTCTTGGGTATCTTTATTGAGGAAATGTTTTGCCACACAGTGGCTTCATCAGTCCATACATAGGAGAAACTTGAAGAACAGGAGGAGAATGAGGTAATCAGTCCCTCAACCTTGAGTCGATGTGTTCAGTCCATCAATCTTGAACTGATGAAGCCACTGTGTGGCGAAACGTTTCCTCAATAAAGATACCCAAGAGTTGCACATGTGTCTAATTTATCAACATGTCGGTTCTCTGAACCATTCATCTACAGTACTATCTTAAGAATATAGTAGCATTCTTAGTGCATGTTATTGCTATTTTTGAACATTATTCTAACTTAGACAGTATCTCCTCCCCCCTCCCCCATTAGTCCATTATATCAAGGGTTTACTGTATCATTATCATGAATGTCTAGATTATTCAGATCCTTCCCAGATCTAGTACAGTATGGGCTTTAATCTTAAATTTAGTTTTTTTTTTACTGTTTGTTTAATAGATGACTATTAACATTATATGGGTAATTCAAATTTATTTAGGTTCTTAGTTCTAAACTTTTAAATGAATTATTAATGGAAAGTTTTTGTAAATTTCTTGAACATAATTGCCACATCATGAAATTATGTGGAACTTGTTTCTCTTTTATTGTAATTAAATCACTCATTTTGTGTTTGTTGCATATGTGAGATTGAGATAGTGAGAGTAATTGAACATGCATGCAGGCGAGTAATTTCATATTACAGTTATTACAAATATTGTTTATGGCAATAACTACTATAGCAATTACAATTACATATAAATTAATTTATACTTAACGATAATCTGATGTGAAAAAAGGCTTAACAAAATATGTACAGTAGGGCCCCACTTATATGGCAGGTTAGGTTCCAGGCTACTGCCGGAAAGCAGAATGCCATTTTTTTCCACTTATAAATGCATATAAATGCCACTAACATATATTAAGTTAGCAATAGAACTAGGCATTAAAACAATAAAAAAGTAAAATACACACACACAGTACACTAATTATTTACCTCAAAATATTCTTAGTCTTAATATAGGGCAAAAGGTGAGTAGCATTTACTATAAGAAGTTACGTGTGGTAGCCCTCCTGGCCACCCCCACCCACATATAATATACTACGACGATGCTTAAAGCTCCATAGAGTGATAAAATGCATATACAGGACACTCATCACTTACCTTAAAATATTTGTAGTCTTAATGTAGGGTGAAAGGTGAAAAGTATTTATTTGTAGAAAGTGGTGTGGTAGGTAGGGTAGTGTAGGGAAGCCAGCCTGGCCACCCCACCCACTATGTAAACAAACAGACGATGCATCTGGTTATGGTTCATAAACTTTCATACAAACACCTTACATTGTGTACAAGTTGTCTCCACAGTGATACAGTTGAATAAATAAAGACCAGCACTTCCACTGTCATGTAATTTTTAGAAGAAATGATACTCTGACAAATTATTATTATTACTATTACAAATTATTATTATTACAAATTATTATTTTTTTTCCAACAAGTCGGCCGTCTCCCACCGAGGCAGGGTGACCCAAAAAGAAAGAAAATCCCCAAAAAGAAAATACTTTCATCATCATTCAACACTTTCACCTCACTCACACATAAGCACTGTTTTTGCAGAGGTACCCAGAATACAACAGTTTAGAAGTATATATGTATAGAAATACACAATATATCCCTCCAAACTGCCAATATCCCAAACCCCTCCTTTAGAGTGCAGGCATTGTACTTCCCATTTCCAGGACTCAAGTCTGGTTATATAAAATAACCGGTTTCCCTGAATCCCTTCACTAAATATTACCTTGCTCACACTCCAACAGCTGTCAGGTCCCAAATACCATTTGTCTCCATTCACTCCTATCGAACATGGAACACGCTCATGTACGCTTGCTGGAAGTCCAAACCCCTTGCCCACAACATCACCTTTACCCCCTCCCTCCAGCCTTTTCGAAGATGACCCCTACCCCGCCTTCCTTCCCCTACACTACAGATTTATACACTCTCCATGTCATTCTACTTTGATCCATCCTCTCTAAATCACCAAACCACC